TATGAACTTAAAAAATAAATGTTTGATTTAACAAGTTTTTAAAATAAGCATTAAGACCATGCCCAATAATATCCACCCTGCAAAATCCCTGCATCATTTGAACCATCTGTATGCTCCACATGACTTATAAGCTCATGCTACTGAGCTATTTCGTTTCATTTAAACAATGCTAAGTAAAACCTTCAAATAATATGGGACTAAATGCCTGAGTTAATTAGCTCAAGCATTCAAATGGAAAGAAAAAAGTGACACGTGACACGTGACATGTAGAACAGAGTTTCACTTTTCAAACTCTTTTTTATGCTTAGGTTTGAAAATTGCATATATTAAATTAAAACTAGAATATCAATAAAAATTTTATTAGTTTGTTCACTCAAAAAAAAATGTGGGCGCTAAATAATTTAGTTGATAAAAATCTAGAAAGATATTATTAAAATTTTGAGATTAAATTCCGCTAACATTAATTTTATACTTGACACCTATAATAAAAGTGTTGGGAAATGATACATACATATATATATATATACACACATTGCGTGTGTTAATATATATAATTTATTTATTTATATTTACAAATAAAATTTCCTATGCCCAAGTATGCATAACTAAAAATTGCAAAGAGAACAAAAAGTAATAAGAATAGCTTACAATTTTTATTGCAAACTCCAAAATATGTAACAAACTAAAAAAAAAAAAAGACTTTTTAAAAATGAGCACAACCAAACCTAAGGCTTCATTTGGAACAACTTTCTTACTGTTTTTTAAAACAGCTTTATAATACTAAAATTCTTGAATTAAAAACTTCTGTACTAGAAAACTACTTCAGAAAATAATTAAAAAAAGCTGTCTCAAACAAAGCCTACGTACACCCTATAACAAACTTTTATTTCCTTTTATATAAAGACAAATCTATACGCGAACTTCAAAAATAAATTCTTAGGGCTTTTTTAAAGTTTAGGGTTTGATTTTTAAACTTATAGGAAAGCTATGGTCATAGTTCTCGGTACCGCTATGTACATGCTCGGTACTGCTATGTACATGCTCAGTACCGCTAGGTACATGCTCGGTACCGCTAGGCATCTTTCCATACAAATAACTTACGAACTTTAAAAATAAGCAGAATTTCAAAATTATTCTTACAAATAAAATTTGTTGACCGGAAAGGTCGAACCCCGCCAGGGGGCAGCTCCCCCTTGGACCCCCGGCAGCCCGGCATATTATTATATTCATCATCTTTAGTAAAAGTTGTTAGTGTTAGTCTGCTTCTTCATGTTAGTGCTAGAGTTTTGGGCCTCACTTGTTCTTCCTCTGGGTGTGAGCGAAACTGTAGCACAGATAGTCAAGTGCAAACAAAGAGAAGAAATCGACTTTCAACACTCAGAATGAACTCCCTTGTGTATATTATGCACAACAAGAGGTTGAGGAACAATGGGTTGAAGGATGATGAAGACCCATTGGTGTGTGATGATGTGACGTCTGATAATGAGTGGTTCATAGATAATGAGACAAAATTGTCATTATCAGACCTGTAACTAGAGGATCTAATTGTTGACGTCTTGAAGAGCGAGGTAGATTAAGTGGGCACATCCACTAGTGCCAAACTACACACATCCACTAGTTCTGCAGCACAACAAGCAACTAAAGGTATTCCACAACTTCTTATGTGCTATTACATTATATATATATCAAGTGGGAAATTAACATAACAATAATCATTCTTATTGAACAGGGAAAAGAAAAGTGAGTAACATTGAAGATGATGAAGATATGACATTCATGGATACAATTGGAGAAGAAGATTCACTTGTATACCCATTTAGTGATGGGATATGATTTGGTTTAATATGTTCTTTCTTATTTGTACTTTGGGAGTTTTGATATACTTATATTTTGTGGTTTTGTACTTTGGGACATGATTTTATTGCATCTATTTTCTTACTTTCCACTAATTTCACTTATCAGTTAAATGTTTTTATTATATGATAGAATCTTACTATTATTTACCTGCTAAAACCCTTAAATTCTCATTTACGCAATTCTTCGTCCGTGAGGCTTACGCCTCACACCGCCTCGAGGCTTAAACCTCGTCTCACTGACGAAAAATATCTCGAGGCTTATTTACGCAATTTTAAACCTTGGTCACAACCCCAATATCCTTTTGCATTGCTTTCAAATATAAATATAGATCTGCTTTGTACATTAGACAAGTGTGGTGTTCTCCACCACAATAGTAATTAGTTTTTTCTTTCCCATCTTTCTTCTATTTTATAGGAAAGAGTTTAGGTGCGTGCAGTCTACAATATGTTCCCTTGTTATGAACAAGATTTAGCAATGATAATAGAACTTGCCAAAGACATTTGGCTTATATAAGGAAAAGTCATCACCAATCTTCTTTCATATTTTATTTTGGAGAAAGGACACATCTTCGAATGATTCATGATATTCTCCCCCATTGCCTTGATTTTTGTGCTTAATGGTTGTTAACATCACACTATCTTGCTCAATCATCAAGAGCATGCATAGTTGATTTGCAATTTGAAAATGAAACCTCAAGGTATGTACTACATCAATACTTGTACATCCCCAAAGATCTGCTTCCAAAGAGACAGCTTGAAACTCAATGGTGTACTGCTATACAAATCGTCCATAACACTGTCTCAAGCTATGCTACTTCCACCAATATTCTACAATCTACATACAAATCAAGTAAGCACTCACACCACTTGAATATCTCTGAAGTTATCTAATGATGGTCATTCATCTTCAGATGGGCATTCCACCGCGTGATGGCATACTCTTATTGATTGATCCATGAATTGAGCTTCTTAGCATCAATATGCCATCATATATAAGAATCAAATCTTTAGCTTCTACTTTAAATGGTTGCATTGTGGTAGATATATCCACATCTACACCTTCACTAATCATGCTTGCATGTGACATGGAAGGAGGAATATGATTAGTCAACTAGAGCTAATGGTTTCGCATTCTCATCCACTCCATCACAGAAAGTAACTGCTATATCAATCTAGCTAGTAGCTGGACACCTTTTAGATTGCAATGGTAATCCTCCCCATCCCAGAAAGTAACAGCTATATCAAT